GGGGACATGGCAGTGGGGCAACTGACAATTAGAAAATGGTGGGTCTTTGTTGAAAGACCAAACAAACAAACAAAACAAAAACCATGAAGCTAGTTCCCTAAGGCCTTTAGGATGTTACAGACTTGTAGTCTCTTGACTCAACCTTTTGCGAATTCTGAACATGAATTTCAGGTTCATGAATTTGGTCTTCCAAGTTGCTGTCGGTCATCTTTCTGGAAAGAACCTTTTGTGGACAGGCTGCTCAGCCAGGACCTGTGATGAGCTGCTCAGTGGAGACTGTCTCAGGGTCAAAGATGTAACAAGGGAACCGTGTAAGGAAGTAAGGGACAGCCAAGGAGCCATTTTAGATGGAGCAGTGTGGAGGGATCCACACGTGAGTTAGCTCATTAATAAGTAGGGCTCCCTCGATACATTCGAACAAGCTTCTTGGGGCTGGAGCAATGGCTCTGCAGTCAACATAAAATTGTTCTTGTTGAGGACCCTAAGGTTCCAAGAACCTGCTTGGCAGCTCACTGCTGACTGCATTCCCACTGCAAGAATCTGGTACCATAGCTCCCAGAGGCATCTGCACTTACGTGGATACACCCCACCCACTACACAATTACAAATAAAATAAATATTAAAAAAATACTGAGCTTCTCAACCCAACACCAATTCTTTATTGATTCAGGAATAATCCAGAACCTAGAACATTTGTTCTTTTTGTTGGATCATTATTTCATTAATTAACTCTCACTCACAAGTGCTTTTTAATGTCACTGTTTCAGACACTGTAGAGACAGAGGTGGTAAATCCAACTCCTCCAGATTTCTTACCCAGTCTTCTCTTTACTTAGGATATTTTCATCCCAGTCTAGCTTGTCACTGCCTTCATCTTGATTCTATTTAACCCGTTTGCAGATACCAGCTAACCCTACTGCCTGACCTGGTTAAACACATCACTCTATGTTCTCATGGGATTCCAGAGATTTCACACTACGAATGCTATAATCACATTTGTGATTCACCCTGGGTTGCCTTTTGCAGAAAGAAACCTTCCCTGGGGGCAGCCATGTTTGTTTTGTTCACTGTTCTGCCTAGAACAATGCTTCTAAATGAGGCAAGGACTAAATTTAAATTCATTTGGTAGATACTTATTAAACACATAGATGGCAAACATTTTTCTTAACATTGGGGAAACAGCAAACAAAACCAAAACCAAAAATGTGTGTCTCTGGGATGTGAAATCTTGACTGCTGGTCAAACTTTTGATTTATTGACAGAAAGTACCTGCCTCATCTTCCTACTTCCAAGTAGTAGAAATGAATGCCAGTGGTCACAAATGATCTGGTTTGAACCACATGGAGAATCTGAATGGGACAGAGTTTTTTGTGTTCCGTGATTTTCAGACTAACAGCTTGCTTGCTGTCCTTAAGAGGGCAACTGTTCAGCCATTTTTCAAACCTTCATCCCCCATACTATTGCTTAACAAATGTCTCACAAGCTAGAAGTGAGTGTATGATCGTTAGCTCATGCTGTTCGTAAACACTAGTGGACCTAGAGGGGTCCCCCAAGACCATGTAATGGGGACAAAGGTGAAGAGCTTTTTAAGTGTACTGAGTGATAAGGGCCACTTGACTCATTTCTTACCTGCTCCTGTCATAGCCCAAGCGAGCACGAGCATCTTCAGTGTCAGGGTCCTAGCTGTGGGAAGTGAAGGCTTCACCGCGAATGGCAGGCATGCTGCAAGAATATAGTCAGGAACTACATGGGACTTGCAGAAGGAGCCAAGATGGATCAGCTTTAAGAACAGTGAAGGGCTTTCCGGAAAACGACGTAGAAGAAACGCTGGGGACATTATGAAAGCTCTCAGGCAGCAAGAGAAATACCTCACAAGTAAGGGTGTACTTTGAATAATGAAAACTAGTGTTGGGTATGGGGGGGGGAGGGAGCTGGAATAAAAGAGAATGTTGGAAATAGAGGAAATGGTCATGCCCAAGAATGGAGACAGTTAGTACCACTGAAGTGAATTCCAACTATTACCTGATTTCAGAGCCTGTGGACAGCCCCATGGCAACTCTTCTGGGGTTCTCTTGCTTTGGGTTTGAGGAACTGCCATGGAAGGATGCGGTGACGGTCTCACCCACTCACACTAACACAGTACGTGCCAGTCTTTGGACAGATAATTAGATAATTAGATCAAGCTCCTATGTGTCTTCACAAGTGGAAATAAGCCCCATCCCAAAGCTGGACAGACTCTGCAATGGAATTGAATCAGTAGGATGATAACTCGGTTCGACATCTTCTGCCAGGGACCAATATATTCAGTGTGGTGGTTTGAATGAGAGCGGCGCTCATAGGCTCATGTATTTGAATGCTTGGTCCTTGGTTAGTGGAACTGTTTAGGAGGCGTGGCCTTGTTGGAGGAGGTGTGTCACTGGGGGTGGGCTTTGGGGGTTCAAAAGCCCACACGGGTCAAGCATGTCTTGCTCTCCCCCTTTCTGTCTACAGCTCAGAATGTGGGTCTCAGCTACTGCTCCAGTGCCTGTCTGCATGCTGCCATGATCCACACCATGGTGATGATGGACTAAACCCCGGAAACCGTAAGCCAGCTCCCCACTAAATGCTTCCTTTTATAAGTTGCCTTGGTCATGGTGTCTCTTCACAACAACAGAACAAGACACAGTAAGCCTGCTGTCAGCAACCCTCAGGACCAACTCTGAAATCGCATCCATTCTGCTCATAAAATCTACAAGCTGCTGAGTCATTTAACTGCAAAGCATCCCAGCAAATTTTAATGATAAGAGCAGAAACCTTCCTAGATTTATAGATACAGCAATGTGGTCAAACCTGAAACCATTCACGTCACCAGGAAGGAGGAGAAGCGGTGCCGTTGCCTGGAGATGATAACGGGTTCACAGGATAACAGAGCTAGGCTTGGGGATGCAAGTGGAGACGTCCCAGAAAGTACCATGAACAGCGTATGTAAAGAAAATGTTTTATTTAAAGTGTTAAATACCATCACCAGAATGAATTTGATTTACATCAGTCGGTGTTTGTTACAGGCCTAATCTGCCCTCCCCTCCCGTTTTTCCCTAACTGGAATTCCCTTTACTTGAAAACATTCTATGTACAGGGCAGCAACGGTCACTGGCATAGTGCTATTTACATGATGTAACCACAAGTTGAGGTGCAGACGTGTGAGAATTAAAAAAAAAAAAAAAGTACACAACTTTTAAAATAAATACTGCGTAATGACAAGTATGTACAAATATTCCACAGTCATGTCCTTCTTATTAAAATTAGAAATAATTTGTATAGGAGTGTGCAGAAAAGGTTATGCCACTGCATGTTAGTGTCAGAAACATGGTAAATGTCTGTTCTAAGGGAGAACAAAGACGCTGCGGGTCTATTAAACCAAATCGCTGCTGGTACACAGGTGTCTAAAGTATCTCGTTAACATTGTATCCTTCTTTTCTTACTTTCTCCTGGGTCTGTCCTAGGTCGTCTCAGAAAATCAAGACACGGCCTTGGTGTAGGTCATGTTGCACCACAGAAAGAGAAGGCATTTTGAGTGATAGCTCATTTGTAACTTTTGCACCATATCAAGCAAGACAGTTTCCAATGGTCAGCATTGGATTCCAAAGGAGAAACAAAGAAAGTATTGTGTGTGTGTGTGTGTGTGTGTGTGTGTGTGTGTGTGTGTGTGTGCATGGCCTCCATTTAAACCAATGGGATGTAGACGAATTTCAAAAATTATTGCAAGGAGTTAAAACTGATCTCTGTGTAATGTGTAATTAAAGCATAGTAAGAAACAGAAAGGGTGGGTGGTTTATTACATTGACCAGTGACATTTCCTCTCAATAGGGGCCTGGAGAGAAACTGGACCTTTTTTTCAATGGTAAAAAACTGCCTGTAAACCAAAGGTGTGGTTTTGACTTGAGGGATCTGTGTGTCGACTTTTGGTGATGGCCTCAGATAACTAGTAAGAGGCAGATTGACTTTCTTCACGTCACCTAAAAATTGGAGCTTTAAAATTGTTGCAAATTTATGTCTGCTATATTTCTTTAGAAATATAATTTGTGAAAAATTGAATTTTACTACAGAAAAATGAATTAATAAACAGCCCTGTGTTTCAGGGCCCCACGTATTTAGCAGTGGTTTCTATTCACATAGTAAATGGAAATCAGCTAAAGAAATTGCTTTAACAAATTAAAAAAAAAAAAACCAAAAAACAAAACCTAAGACCTACAAATGATACGTAACCCCCTGTATGAATAATGCTGGTGCTAAAAACAAATATTAGAAATTACAATGCCGCATGATTTTAGGATTTTTTTTCCTGTAAACTCAATCTTTAAGGTGAAAAAAAAATTACCATGCACTGTACAATGAACTTTGAATGTTCAAGCATCTTCTTGGTCAAATATGTGCTGAGTTGCTTTGTGTCCCAAGTCATGGTGCCAAATCCTTTCAACATGCTTGAAATAAAGAAAGCTCTGGAACAGAACTGAGAAATCTATAAATCCAGACGCATCTGGGCTCTGAATCAAATATGGGGGGGGGGTAGGAGGGTCAGGTCAAAGAGTTGTAATGTTTCAGTAGAAGTTTCACTTGGGGAAAAAAAGGAAAGAAAAGTTCCCAAGTGGGAAGACGGAGAAGGGGAGGGAAGAGGTGAAAAACTTGCACATATTGAATGAACTTTGTAATATCTGTATATTTAACATGGAAATAAATTGAATACATTATGCTTATTGTCACATAAAGAGGATTTGAAGTCCCTGCTAGAAAGTGTTTTCATTTGTAATGTCTGCCAAAACACAGACTGTGTTAAAGAATAGACATGGTGTGTCTTGGTATCACCCTGTTGCATTCTCTCCCATTTTAAAACCATGCACTAGTGAAATTTAGTTTTTAAAAATAATAAAAATTGTTGAAAATGGCTGATTTTTATTTTATTTTATTATTATCTTTTTTTGCAAGTTGCAGCCCCGAGAAAATAATTTAAATATTCAGCTAATCTGTGTCCATGCAAAAAAAAGTTTCTTTAATTTCATTCAGTACAGTGCAGTCACAGAATTTTGATTTCCAGAGTCCGACACACATCTTGGCATTAGTGAATGGCATGCCTCCTGGAGCTCCCCAGAGTCTAACCACGCTCCCTGCCGAGCCCCCTCCGGGAGGGAGGGAGGCAGCCATGGCCCAACTGGGCTCCCGTCACTTCTTTGGTCTTTTGCTTTTCACCTGATGCTTCCTAGGACTTCGCTCCTTGGCCTGTGGTGTGACTTCACGGCTGTAGAGCTCCATTTCTGTGGCATAACAGGCTTTGGGGTCAGATAAATGAAGAGGAAAAAATAAACAATAAAAATATAAAGGTGCTATTGAAAAGGGCTGACTGATTCTTTGAGATTAATCCATGGCTTCAGATTGGACCAGAACTCGAGTGTCACTGAACAGTTCTGCACGGCCCTGCTCTTTCACCTGAAGGCCTGCGCTAGGGCACAGTGTGTGCGACTTCCTCTGAGAACAGGATCGCTTTGTAACCCTAGACGTGGGCTCCGAAGACAAACATCAAGCATGCAGTGTTACCAGGGGACCTGTGCGTTGTCTTCTGTTTTTGTATCGCTGGTTGTTGTGACAACAGTTTTACAGTTGCTATGAACGAGAGTAAGAAGGTCCCGTAGAACTTTCCAGAGATGACTGGGAAGCTCTTCTTGTCAGAGGTGCCAAGGTTGGGTCCACTAGGGAGGAGGGAGGGAAGAGTTTGAACCACCCAATCACCATATTGGATAGTTCCAGTTCGTCTAAGAGTATCTGGGCCACTCCCATAAAGGATTTGTGATCCATGCGGCCATAATCTCCCCAGACAATGATCTGTCGGCAAAATAAAAAGCAGCGTTAGAGTGAACACGCACATCACAACAGACAAGCAAAGCCATAAGCACACTAGTAAAATGTGTTCGGGGAATGTACTGTGTTAAGGGTCAAGTTAAGTAGCAGAGTCTGATGGATGACAATGCTGCCTTTAACCCCCAGAAGTCAGGGTTCCATCAGGAAAACTGCACCACACACAGTGTCAAGGTCTGAAGCCACACCGGGAAACAAGCTGGTGTGTGACCCAGGCTTGCATGGCTGTGGGGAAGTCAGTCCCCTGTCAGGGGGAACAACAAAAAACAGCTTTACAGCCCTGGCCAGCCCAGTCGACAGAGGTTCTCAATCGTGAGGCACAGAAAAGAGTTGGGCAGGAGAGATACTAGATCCCGGGTCAGGCTCTGTGGCAGGGGCAGCAGTGGGCACACACCTGTAACACCTTTCCCTGGGGGCTCTCCTCGAAGGAAGAGAGGTGCTGATACAGGGGTTCCAGTGTCTTCCTTGCCACCTTGGTTTTCTTTTTGGCTATGCAGACTCCGTTGTCTAATAGATACACCTTGACATAGGGTGCTGGGGACAGAAAACAGAGTGAGTGACAGCCATTGCTACGAAAGGCCCAGCTCACGGGCTCCATCTTCAACAAAGAGTTGGCAGCACTCTAGCCACGGGTCTGCCTTCGAGTCAAAACCCACATTTGTCCAGCCATTCAGTTTCAAGTGTGTGGATATGGCCTTTGAGGGTCTTCCTCTCCGCCCCCATCTCTTTGTTGTATAGATTTAAATGTTGGATTAAATAATGCAAAACTCTTTCCAACCCCAAACAAGAATGAAGAGCAATGCCTTAGTCTTCAAAGTACCAACATTCTGATCTCATCAAATGTGTTTGGCATGGGGCTGTTTCACTCACCCCACAGCTCACTTGACCACCCAGAGGCATTTATTAGCTGGGAATGGTGTGAGGCGGGTGGTAACTCCCAGAGGCAGCTGAGTAGCAACTGTGTGACTAAATCCTGACCTGATAGACACGTTTGTAAAGGGCGTGCCCCTGCAGCTCAGGCCATTCAGTTAACTGCAAAGCTACTCGATTGGTGGGGCAAGCTTTAAGAACTCCTTCGAGGAGGAGGAGCCGAGAGAGAAATGCAGATTTCTAAGTCAATGCCGGTGCCGGTCCGGTGCCAGGGAGGGTATGGGGGGGGGTGTCCTTTCAGGGTTCAGTTTTATACCCTGCATCGCTGCTCTCTGCCCACAGCACACGCAGACTGTGACATCTCCATGCCTCCGAGTACCCTGACTTACAATGATGCTCGAGAGCACACCACACGGTGTACAGCAAAGCCCCCCTGAAGAGTTTTATTAGTGAAGAGTAGCGAGAGGGGGTGTGCACAGGCCTGTCCAGAAGAAACGTGGCGAGAGAGCGGAAGTCTGCTTTTAGAGGTCACTTAGCACATGTGCATGTGGGGGCTTAAGTAGCCACACCACACATACTTAGGGATTACATGGCCACGCTGGGTGCTCGCATAAGGCCCTGGGAGGACCAGGCATTGCGCCTGCATGTTGATGGCACGTGTGCAGCCAACCTGGGGGAGATGCTAACACCTGGGACGACTGAGTGGGCATTTTGCCTGAATGCAGAAGGCCACGCGGGTGGCCGTGAGGCCCCGGAAATGCCAACCATGGGGCCTCTCACATACTGCAGGACTAAACGTTTGTCTTAGAGTAGCCAGCCTTCATAGGCTTAGGGGACTGCCTGGATCTAATTCCAGAGCTTGAAGGATGCCTAGGGACAAATTTGGAGTTCCTGGTAAACTGCGGGGAAGTGGCATTCTAGTGCGCACACTGTGACAATGTGACTAACCGTGTGTGTACGTGTGCAAAGACTTGTGTGATCCCTACCAGATCCCTCAGAACACGCACGTGCAGACTGCTTCAGTCCCCAGGCAGTGCAATAATGGAGCCACTCACTCCTCCATTAAGAAGGTTTCAGGGGAAAAAGGTAACTTTGACATGGAAACAAAACGGACTATGAGAAGTGACGGTGAAATCTCTTCTGTCTTACCTGGCAGTGTCTTGGAACCTGGTTTTACAACAAGGCCGCGAGCCCGAATGATTTCCACCTCCAGCTGTCCCTTTTTGTCCATCATTCCCACCTGAATATCACCTGGTGGGGCACAGGGAAGGAAAACAGAAGTAGGAGGAAGGCCAGCGCCAAAGACCTTGGCTTCAGGCATTCCCAGAGGTTTTCTTAAGTCCCCGGATGTATTCATTCTTTAAGATTTACGTGTTCTCAGAAGTGTGTTGCTTTAAAGATGAACAGAAATTACAAAAGAAAACAAACAAACAAACAAACAAAAACTAAGAACATTACTGTTAAAGTCTGGGACTCTATTTTTGCGGGTGATCTTGTTCAAAACTTCATGACACGGAGGGATTGTGATGCTTCAGCAATCTAAAGGACAACAACAAAACCACGTGACAGAAATGCTTACCCATTGCAGGAGTAGCCAGGGTCTGGCGTCCCACTAGCTGAGCAGGGCCCAGGCCATCAAGGAAATCGCTGAACTGGCTGTCAGAGGCCAGGCGGACACCGGGGAAAATCAGACTGAAGACAAAATGACATGCAGGGTTAAATCCTCCACGTCCCTCCTACCAGGCAAGCCTGAGTTCTCTGCTGGCCTCATCAGTGTGCTGAGACTAAGGGGCCACTAATATTCACTGCGCTTCAGCACCCCACGCCACTTCCCACCACTCCTGGTCCATCTTGCTTCTCTGGACCCCAGTGCCTGTCCCCAGGAGCACCTGCCACACCATGTGGGCTTCTGTCTATGTCTTCTCTTGCTTGCTCTGGGCGGCGGGGAGGTGATTTCTGTCTTGCATGCTCAGAATACACTGAGATGGCACAAAGTGTGCCATGTTTGATCCTCTTAGCTATACCAAGAGCGAGTCTGTCAGTTGTCTTTTCACACTTGGAGGAAACTGGACCATGCAAGTGCTGCCATTGCATCCTACAAAGGGAAAAACTGCCCTTTCCTGAGGGCTCTCTCTTCCCCAACACCCACCCCACCTGCTCCCCTGAACCCTTGGGAAAGCCCTTCACATTCCCTCTCCAATTTGATTCGGAAACTCTCATCAGCTCTTTTGTTTCAATATCCCCAAATTTCTCTAACCAGAAGTCAGACAAGGACTACAGCAGTCATTGTCGGCCAATGACTACAGCAGTCAGTGTCAGTCAGTGACCACAGCAGTCAGTGTCAGTCAGTGACCACAGCAGTCAGTGTCAGTCAGTGACCACAGCAGTCAGTGTCAGTCAGTGACCACAGCAGTCAGTGTCAGTCAGTGACCACAGCAGTCAGTGTCAGTCAGTGACCACAGCAGTCAGTGTCAGTCAGTGACCATGGCAGTCAGTGTCAGTCAGTGACCACAGCAGTCAGTGTCAGTGACCACAGCAGTCAGTGTCAGTAATCACAGCAGTCAGTGTCAGTGACCACAGCAGTCAGTGTCAGTCAGTGACCACGGCAGTCAGTGTCAGTCAGTGACCATGGCAGTCAGTGTCAGCCAGTGACCACAGCAGTCAGTGTCAGTGACCACAGCAGTCAGTGTCAGTCAGTGACCACGGCAGTCAGTGTCAGCCAGTGACCATGGCAGTCATTGTTGGCCAATGACTACAGCAGTCAGTGTCAGTCAGTGACCACGGCAGTCAGTGCTGGCCAGCGACTACAGCATTGAAGTGAACAGATGAGCAACACAATCCATCCTTCTTTCTTCCCTGAGAAATCTTTTCCAGTCATTTCCTGGAGACTCTGGGCTCCCTGGCTTTCTCTTTTCTCCTCTGCCAGTTCTGCTACTAAACACCCGAAGTCCACCTTCTTTTCCTCGTGTCTGAGTTCCCTTGGAAGTCTCACCCAACTTCATGGTGTCTGTGTCAGTGTTGCCTACCCAAGAGCCTCTCTGGCTTAGCCTTCTTCTCTGGGCCATACACGGCCATTCCAGTAGCATCGTTGGCTGACAGGATTACCTATGGGCATCTGGAAGTTAACTTATCCTAAACTGACAAACAGAAATCTCCTAACCATCCCCTCCCTAGATATAATGTCATAAAAATTAAAACAGAAAGGCTAAGGAAGTAAGTAGGCTCATTTCTTCAGAGATGGTCCATGTGTGTATAAGAATCAAGTCTTAGGGAATATCTAATACCCTCTCTTGTTTAGTTTCCTTGCCTTATTTCATCATCAACACTTAGCTTACCCAATTTATTACGTATTTTACTATTTTCCTTATAACTTGAAAGGTTTTGATAAGGTCTATCTTGTCTTTTGGATGGGTGAAGGTCATTGTCTTTTGTTGGCTCTTACAGCCTGGAAGCCTGTCACTCTCGATGACCCATCTTCATGCCAGAAACATGAAGTAATTTACCCAAAAATCTAAGGTGCCAATACCAAGACAAAAATCTCTTGCTATCTTGGCTTCTGTGATTCCCAAACCCACTGTCTTAACTTCTGATTAGATTCTCTTGTATGGCTCACACCCAGCTCACAGCACACCGTCTGGGACACTAGAAGGTGATATTTGTTGAATGACTTTATGAGTATCCATGTTATTTCTACAATTAGATGGTAAACAACTGAGGCGGAAACCACGCTTGCAACATTTTTATATCCCCGGCAGCTTTATAACAAGACTATAAGCTTGTGAGTGTTGCGGGGACCATGCTGCAAACATTTTTATAGCTCTTCAGTGGTTCACACAGGCCAGCGCTCAACACATTCATCTTTCACTTTTCTCCCAGGAAGAAGAAATTTCTTTAGTTCATTGTACAGAGTGTGTCACGTGCCTGTGATGGGTCACTGCCACGCTGGCCTTTCCCTCAGCTCTCCATTTCCTTCCAAATTCCTTGATGGTCAGCAAATCTATTTCTTTCCCTTGACGTCACATCTCAGAACTTCAACCTGTTTATACAGCCCTATTTTAAAATTGCTGGATTATGTTCGTCTCCTTTATTTAAATGATTGCATACGAGGGTATGCAGTTAACTGTAAGCCAACATTTCCTATGGTTTTGAACCTGTGAATTGGCTACACGTGTCTAGACATGGAACACCTCCATGGGGATGGCAGACTGAGGCCCTGAGCCTCATCTTCCTCTCCTGATGCCCTCTGTGTCCCATCTACAAAGCAGAAGTTACTCAGTACTGCTGTGTGTTGGGGACAGGGCCACCCCATGCTTACAAACCTTTCCAAGTATGGGAGTGGATTCAAAGGAAAGCTACACAGAGAAAAAGGCTCACCAACTCCTTGCTGCCATTGTCTTTGATTATGGCTTCACATAATTAAGGTAAATCATATAACTTTCAGTGCATAAATTCTTCAACAGCATCTTCTCAACAAATCCAAGATTTTTCACATTGAAGTTATTTTAAAATTATCTTATATGTCTGGGTTGTTTTGCCATGTATGTCTGTGAACCACGTGCATGAGGGGGCCACAGAAGGATGTGTGACTGGATCAAGCCCATCCTTTGGAAAAGCATCAGCCAGTACTCTTAACCTCTGAGCCATCTCTCCAGCCCCAAGACTTTAAAAACTAATCTTGCCTACACGGTGTGACATGCATGCTCACTATTTCTGTGATCTTGTTTGTTATTTTAAGCTAGGACACCCTATTTTATTTGTAGGTCATGTTGAGAGTCACACCCTAGCATCTTGTCCTTGAGGTAAAGCACTGTATCTCCCCCAAGCTAATTCACTTGAAATAGAAAGCAAGATACGTCAACTGACGAGTGGAGGGTGAAACAAGTTCTCAGGACTCAGCCAGGGAAGATGGAAATGGTGGCTGTGAGCCGTGTGAGTTAGCTCTTGTTCAAGCAGGGCCTGGACCCGGCCTCACTCACTTTCCTTCGGAGCTGTAGCTGTTCATGCTGCCATCGGTGGATTCCCGGCTGGCCTGCCGCGTCATCCAGTTCCTCATCTCCACTGCGAGGCCGGTCTCGGTGCTCCTCTGGACAGTGCTCCGTAGTTTTTTACCTCCGGCTTCTGCAGAGACAGAAATCCAAAGGCATCACGGTTCTGTCATCACTGCCTGGTTACAGGACAGGCCGGCCAGCGCCTGAAGACTGCAGATTCGAGGAACTGCTGAGAGAGAGTTTTGTTCTTAAGGAGAAAAGGCACTTTAAACACCCCCAAACAGTGTCTCCCTGAGTACCACTGTTTATTGCCACTTAAAACAGTGTTCCAATAGTTAACATAAGAAACGAAAAGGTTCATACTGAGGATACCGAGCTTTGTTTGCATCATAACACTTAAATTACCATATCAATTTATGCCTCTTCACTTTGCTTTTCATTGTAATTTTGAAATGCAGAATTAATTTATGCTTTCCTCCCCCCAATTCTTTTTGTTTTATGAAAGAAATGGGCCTTCATATTACTTACAAAGAGACAGATGGTGAGGGATACTCCACTTTTAGCTTTAACTTTTATACATAATGTTTATGGTGACAGCTATGAAAAGGCAAAGAAAGCTATACCTAAGGAATAGCCCTATTTGATGGCAGTTTTGAATCTGTTGATAACTTCCAGAAAGATTGTATAATATAGAATTCCTGAAGTGTCATGTGTAGGACTTGGATAGTCACCTCTAAGGTGGCTGTATCTAGTGGGTTTTCTCCCAGAAGGTCACTAGCGGATCAGAGCTGAGGAAGGAAGACAAATACAAGCAAGACTGAGCTAAGACATGCTGCCCGGAGAGACCATAGCTCCAGAAAGGGAGTGGGGTTTGAGCTGGGCTTGGAAAACTGGCCAACTGGGACTCCAGGAAAAGAACAGCAGGTCTTGGGCAAGAGAAACTACATGGGCAAACGAGCAAACCTGGAGTTACCATGTGTAGAGAGTAAGGGCCATGACTAAAGCGTGTGAGAGAGTGGTGGGAAGTGAGGGTACGAGATAAACTCAGAACTGTGAAGAGCCCAGCATGCTGGAATATGGAGCTGGGAGACCACCAAAGCTCATCCATTTGCTCCTTGCAGGATTTTATTCACGCTGGCTTCGTAAGCCATTAGCGGTTGGAGATAAACAGCCCATGGGATGTGCTCTTCCAGGGGCTGGCAACAGGGAGCTCTCTTAAATGCTGTTGGCGATGCTGATGCGATCAGACTCTTTGCATCAAACTTCTTATATTTGCTCCACGTTGAAACACTGCTTCCAATTCCGCTCAATTCTCATGTCCAGTTTCGACACAATTAAAAAACACCTTGGAGTAGACACAAAATGCACACAGGACTGATTTCCACCTCATCAGAAGATGCTATTCAGATGAGTAGCAAACATGTACTGATAAATGTAAGAAGACTAAAGGCTTCCCTGGTGATGTGGATAAGTCTTTGTCATACAGGAACGCTGGTGATACTGATGTGGTGATGAAATTCCTTTCACCAAGCTTTTTATGTTTGCTTTGCTTGGAACACTTGAGTATCGACAAAGTTAAAAATACTAATTTGTAACCTCCTAGGAGTAAGGGACTTAAGCATGGCTCGACACCAGAGGCTACCATTAGAAGCTAGACCATGAAAAAAGATTTATGAGCCAAGTGATCAGTCCACAGACTAGCTCTGTTAGGGGGGTAAAAAGATAATTTACCATGGGAGACGGGGCCGCCACCACCACCTTAAGCAAGTCACTGAACTAAACAGCACTGGAACCAGTGACAATCATATATAACCCCTCCTGATATAAGGCAGACGGAATCACCTATGGAGTTGCTCTGGACAAAAGTGTACTCACTGTTTCTAATCAAGTACTCTGGTTTTTGGAAGATGCAGAAGGTAAAGTCACAAAACAAATAGCATGCACAAGCAAAGCTCCAGACAAAGCCCAGATATGGCATATTGTTCAAGAGAATTGGCCTAGTCTCCTGAAATGTTAACACCATGGAAAAAAAGCCTAGGTAAGGTAATCTAGATTAAAAGATAGCCAGGTCAGCCAGTGACCTTGGGTGTATGTATTTTTGCCTTGCTTGTAAAACCAAAATGAAATAGGAAGTCTTTTTAACAAAATCATACATAGACAATTTCAAGGCAGGTAGGGGGAATTTGAATACAGATTAGATGAGAAAGCTGCTCAAGTTTTAGGTGGATTATAATAAGCATTATAAAGAATTTCCTGACTATTAGATATATGTCAAATATTCAGATGCAAAATCTTCTACCATCAACATTTTAATTTCAAATGGTATAGAAAAAAAAACAAATATACACATGCATAGGAAGAGTGTTTAAAGAAATACGAGGGGGCACAGTGGACTGGACTATTCACCAGTCTAATATTATTGATGACCTTTGTGCCTGTCTCTGTGTGTGGTGCAAGCATGTATGTGCAAACTTGCATAGTTAAGGACAGCTGTGTGTAGGTAGACATGCACATACATGTGGTGGCCTGAGGCTGGTCTCAGGGCTTCCTCAGCGGCATTCCATCTTACTCACAGAGACAGGGTCACTCAGCTGAACTCAGCGTGATGACGGGCTGATCTCCAGGCTGCTGGGATCACAGGCAGCCCCCACGCCTGCCTGACAGTCATTTCCATGGTTGCTTGGGAATCCATATTCCTGTCCTCACATTGTGCTGCCATCCCCTTACCCTGCCACTCATCTCCCCCAGTTGCTAAGATTTATTATTTTATTTCAGAGTGATCTCCAAATAGCTACATCACAAAATAGTATGATTTTTTTTTTATCTTGGAAATCATGGAAACGCTAGGCTGATATGATGAAGCCTGAGTGAGGGCTGAGTTTCTGCTTTGATGTTTGTTCCTTTCAGCACTGTGCCAGGTGAAGAGCTGCCATCACCCGAGACACCTTCAGTGGCCTCTGAGATGTTAGACACTTTTCAGTGGCCTCTGAGATGTTAGACACTCTTCAGTGGCCTCTGAGATGTCTAGACACTCTTCAGTGGCCTCTGAGATGTCTGGAAACTCTTCAGTGGCCTCTGAGATGTCTAGACACACTTCAGTGACCTCTGAGATGTTTAGACATTCTTCAGTGGCCTCTGAGATGTCTAGACACTCTTCAGTGGCATCTGAGATGTCTGGAAACTCTTCAGTGACCTCTGAGATGTCTAGACACACTCCAGTGGCATATCTAGGTACATACAAGGAGTATAACTAATGTGCAGCTGACTGTGGGGTGATGCAGACTGAGCCTGGTGGCACACTGCTTCTCTACTTGTTAACTGTATGGCACTGAGCAAGTCACCCCCTACGTTCTCAAACTGTGAGATAATAAGACATAATGGGCAGGACTTGGGTGAGGGCTTAAGAAAACACACATCTTAAGTGTTTGGAAAAGTACCCTGAAATGAAGAAGGTCTTCAACCAAGGCGTTGTCAGAAGATCCAGAGACGGAAGATGGCAACATGCTCTGGCTGCTCTCAACCACTAACTAGCTAGTTGTGCGGCCTTCTCTAAGTCATAGTCGCTCTTGGAGTCTGGGGCTAGCTGTCTACGCAAAGGGCAGGGAGAGGAGAGCAGATGACCCCTGGCATCTTTTATCTCTAAAGTCTGTGAGCTTGTCTCATTAGTGTACAAAAGGCCATGATTAACAGCCCTATGCTGAGGAGGTATGATACTGTCAAACAGTCACAAGTTCCTAGCTAAATAACTACTTAAAACTTGTCATTTTATATCTTCCATTATCGGAAACATTTACAGACTTATTTATACATTTTCAGCACCATAAAAACCTTTATGTCACATTCACAATAACTGGAATTTAACTTCAACACAATGCATTATGGTGATTCGTGTGTAATGCTCCAAATGATGTCACGTTGCTAGGAAACCTAAAAACTGAATCCATGTAACAGTGAAGGTCTGTGAGAGTGAGTGCTAGGGAGGCAGACACAATTCTATGCTGGTCCTGATGACCACGCTACTTTACACGGCAAAAGGGATTTTGCTAGTCGAGTAAGGAAACTAATTAGTTGTTTAAAGGTGGGGAGATTCTCTGAGTGGGCCAGCATAGCCATTCCAGGACTTGAAAAGCTGAATCCTTCCTCTGACTGGCTTCAGAAAAGGAAATCCAAGAAAGCAGACCCACAACGAAGATTCTTTGTACCTTTGCTGGCTTGAAGATGGAAAGAGACACGTGCAAAGGACATCGTAGTCACCAGAGGCTGCTGAGAGTGAGACCTGGCTGGCAAGCCTCAAGACAACTTGACTGGGGCCCTATTCCTCCAAGGAACTGGATTCTGCCACCAACACGAGTGCCCCTGGAAGCCGAGCCGCTGGCAAGAGCTCAGTCAATGATCAGATCTCTGCGGGGTTACACATTTTCATTCTGTGCTAGCCTAAGGATAAAGTAAGTAGGTGTTGGTTTCAGACGCTGAGTGTTACAGCAGCAGCAGATGAGGACAGCGGGTTCTGATTTCTGTCTCAGATATACTTTTGAATGGATCATACATAAAAAACTATTTTATTATGATTGTGAGGGGAGACCAAGTGAAACTGTGTCAAATCTGGGCTGCTTTTTAAAGGGAATACCTGTGCACACACATCTAGACATAGGTGCATGGTATATTAAACAACACACAAGCAGGAAACCCGAGTCTAAAGCCCAGGTTGGGCTGTGGTGGGGCCCTTAAGCTGTTCATTTGGGTATGAGGTATTTTAGGCATTTGGGGAAGATGCGTGCAGGTCAAAGTGGAGTTCTTCTATTGCCAAACACCACAGGCAGAGAAAGGAGACATCATGCCATTCTGCTCTGTTTTACCTCACGACTCATTTACTTGGCACCTGCTGTAGTCAAAGAAAGTCATCTGATTAAAAGCCCCAAGTGTCAGTTTCCCCTAATATCAGGAAGCTCTTCAAGTGGTCTGACAACAGAAATCAAAATGTCCTCATTGCTATTGACTCGGGAGATTGTCCTATTGCCCTGCCCGAGACCAGGCTTGACATATGATACCAAGCTCAATTCCATGGTGCTCTCTTTTAACACCTAGATGCACTGAAGTCACCCTGCTGGGGTCACACCTAGGAAGTCTCAT